AAAAATGTGTATATTTAAACAAATTTAATAGAATAATTGATAGAAGGACTAAAAAAAAATGAAGAATGGATTAAAAAAGTACATAAAAAAATTAAAAGATGAAAATTATGTAAAACATTAAAGTTGAGGACCAAAAATAAAATTTACTCTTTTTAAATTTGAATTGAGTTGTATGGGACAATTTTTGTGTACCGAGAATACTGTATAATCTGAAATTGCAATTGCAGGGTAATTAAGATTAAGAAGCACCTTCTTTAAGCGGTTGGCTAGCAACTTGGCTAGGATTTTATACATAACTCCAATTAAAGAGATGGGTCGATACTCCTCTATCTTCTGCGGATTGTCCGATTTGGGAACTAGTACAATGAAGGAGGTGTTGAGTCCTCTCACCATCTTGCTGTTCATGTGGAATTCCTGTAGGAATCTAATCACATCATCTTTAATTAGCTCCCATTCGCACTTGATAAACCTGAAGTTAAACCCATCAGGGCCTGGCGCTTTTGAGCTATCACACTCCCACACTGCTGCCTTGATCTTGCTTTCACGGAAGGGTCAAGTTATGAAATCATTATCTTCTTGTGAAATCTGTTTGAAACACACCCCATCCAGCTTTGGCCTAGCCCTCTGTTTTTCCTTAAACATCTCCTCAAAGAAACCAACAAGCTCGTCCTTCATTCTGCTAGCTTCCTTTAACTAGACTCCATTTATGTGTATGCTACTCATTTCATTTCTTCTCCATCTCCCCTTTACACACTTGTGGAAGAACTTTGTATTTGCATCTCCGTGAGCTAACCATGTCTTCCTTGATTTCTGTTGGATCACACTTTCCTTTCTCTTCATATTTTCCCATAAGGTTATTATGGCCTTTCTTCTTTTCTTGATTTCTTCTTCCATCAGCTGCTCTTGTTCCCCTTTCCTATCAATCCAGTCTATCTCTTCTGTAGCATTGCTTATCTTTCTCTCAATATCCAGGGTTGAGTCCCTACTCCATTTCCTTAGCGCCTCCTTTGTCAACTTCATCTTTTCTTTAAGAAGGTGTTGCACCAGGTAATGGGAGAACAACAGACGGGCATTTTTAAGTGGAAGATAGCTGATGGATGGAGTATTGGTTGCTAATGAGGTGATCGACAAAGCAAAAAAGAAGAAGAGGAAAACAATTATGTTTAAGATCAACTTTGAAAAGGCCTACGATAAGGTTAGTTGGGAATTCCTGGAATATATGATGCAGAGGATGGGATTCTATGACAAGTGGAGGAAGTGGATCGGAGAGTGCTTAAGAAAAAGCCTTGTATCAGTTCTGGTCAATGGTAGCCCAACAAGGCAATTTAATGTTTCAAAAGGTCTTAAACAAGGAGATCCCCTATCACCCTTCTTATTCCTAATCATTGCGGAAGGTTTAAATGGGCTGGTATCAAATGCAACTCAAAAAGGATTGTTGAAGAGAGTCGAAGTGGGAAGCAAAGGTCTGAAATTGTCACATCTTCAATTTGCAGATGACACAATCCTATTTGGCGAAGCTACTGAGGAAAACGTCCTAGCAATGAAAGGTATTTTGAGAGCATTTGAAATCGTCTCTAGACTTAAGGTCAATGTTAACAAAAGCCAATTGATGAGAATCTCTGTACAAGAGGAATGGCTGGATAAAATGGCATGGCTATTGTGCTGCAAAAAAGGAAGTATGTCGTTTAAGTATCTAGGAATCCCTATCGGGGGGACTTCGAGGAGAATAGCCTTCTGGAAACCATTGCTGGAAACCTTCAACAGGAAGCTTCACACTTGGAAGGGTTGGTTTCTTTCTCTTGGTGGTCGGATAACTCTTATTAACTCAGTACTGTCCAGTCTCCCCGTGTTTTGGATGTCATTGTACCTAATCCCGAAAGGTATGATTCTTTTACTTGATAAAATTCATAGAAGATTTTTGTGGGGGGGGTCTGAGGGAGGGAAGAGGGTTAATTGGGTTAATTGGAGGCAAGTTTGTAAAGGAAAAGAGAGTGGTGGATTGGGGGTTAAGGACTTGAGGAAGTTTAATGTGGCGTTATTAAGAAAATGGTGGGGGAGACTAATGTCGGAAGGAAAAGGATTATGGAAAACTGTTAGTTATGAGAAGTATGGAAGGGCAGGGGAATCGACCTATAACATGCTGAGGGGGGGAATACAATATGGATCAACTTGGTGGAGGGCTATTTGTAGAGTGAATCAGATAGTTGGTGATAACAGAGGCTGGTTTACTAATGGACTGAAACTAAGTGTAGGGGAAGAGGCAGGAGTAAGTTTTTGGTGGGATGAGTGGGGTGAGGGAGAGAGTCTTGCTAACAAGTTTCGAAGACTTTACACATTGTCTATAGGAAAGAACAATATAAATCAAATGGAAGGGTGGCAAAATGCATCATGGGTATGGAAACTAACATGGAGGAGAAGCTTGCATAGCTGGGAAATGCAGCAAGAATCGAAACTTCAAAGGCTGATTCAAGAAATCAAACTAGAAAGAGGAAAACCAGATGTATGGAGGTGGATACATAACAAGGACGGGAATTATTCAACATGTTCAGCCTACCAAAGACTTATGGAAGAACAAGGGAGCGAGCAGCAGAAATCAAAAATGCAAAAAATATGGAATACATCAATCCCCAACAAAATCTCAGCATTTTTATGGCAAATGCTTCAGGATAAAATTCCAACAAAGGTAAACATTTTAAAAAGAGGTATTATAAAAGAGATTGAAGAGTGTAAGTGTGACCTTTGTGGGATGACATATAAGGATACCAGCCACATTTTATTCATTGTGAATTATCTTATAAATTGTGGAATGCCTATTGTAAATGGTGGGGTATCAAGACTATGTTCGACAATGACTGCTGGAAGGTGTTTGAACAGCATGGCAACATGGTGAAAACAGAGAAGGAAAAGGAAGGATGTGTAGTGGTAGTAGTCTGAGGTCACAGTCCGATCTCACATAGTCCGAGGTCAAGTACCTCGAGCGTCCCGACCTACTTCCAACCTAATCACCTTGACAACAGGGAACAACGAGCTCAGCCGAACTCGAGTTCATCCCCTTTGATCCTACTCTACAGTAACTCCGTACACGCAGGGATACTGTAAGGAAATCTTATGGGATCATCGACACATATAATCCTGATTTCTCGTGAAGAACAACACGTGGATGCCCCATTTGAAGGCTATAAATACCCCCCAAGGGTCCTCCTCAAAGGTAATTGAAACCGAACTCAAACTCAGCTCTTGATTCACACTTGATATCTCTGATTATTGCTGACTTAGGCATTAGAGTGTCTACCCCGAGGACCCACCTCGGGGCTTTACAGGTCTACCGAAGTAAGCGGTCGAGCTTAGAAGTATTCTAGAATCCTCTTGCAATTACACAAAGGTATTGTGAAAACTATTGATAGAATTAGAAATAATTTTTTATGGGGTGGGTGTGGGGAGACTAGGAAAATACATTGGGTAAATTGGAAACTAGTGTGCAGAAGCAGACGAGAAAGAGGTTTAAGAGTGAAGGACAAGAGGCTTTTCAACTTAGCACTATTAGGTAAATGGTGGGGTAGACTATTGGAGGGAAAGGAGAACTTATGGTTTAGGTTAATAAAAGAAAATTATGGGTCTAGAAAGGATAACTGGTGCAGGTGGGTGTGGGAAGGAAAAGGATATATATATATATATATATATGTAGGTTGGATGTTTTGGAAGATAGTAGATGAGGGTGGTTGTTGGATGGTTTTGAGATTAAGGTTGGAAAAGGAAATAGTGAGAGCTTTTGGAAGGATAGTTGGAGGAGTGTAAGAGTGCTTGCTAATGCTTTCCCAAGATCATACATGTTATCTATAGGAAAGGAAAACTCTGTGCAGGAAATGGGTAGTTGGGAAGGTGAAACATGGTCATGGAACCTTGAATGAAGGCGAAGCTTATTTTCCTGGGAGACCGAATCAATGCAGGAATTAAAGCAACAAATCAATATGACTGAATTCCCAAAAGACAAAGAGGCTACTTGGATTTGGAAGGTAGAGAAGAAGGGATTATACAAAGCGAAATCAGGATACAACAGCGTAGTCCACCAACAACCTTCATCACCAGAATCATTATTTGCAAGGTTATGGAACAATCACATCCCTAACAAAGTTTGTGGGTTGGCATGGCTATTATTGCATGACAAGAGTCTATCAAAGATTAATCTCTTCAGAAGAGGAATAATCACAGAAATAGAAGCAGCTACATGTGGGTTATGCAATAGATGTGTGGAGGATAGCAACCACCTTTTTCTCCACTGTATTTTTGCTTCCACACTTTGGATAAAATGCATTCAATGGTGGGGTCTAAGTACTGTACTTTTTGGAAGATGCAAGGATTCTTTTATGCAGAATGAAGACATGGTATCCAAAGCAAAATAACCAATTGCGCTTGGCTGCTGTTTGGCACTCTTTGGTATGGACAATTTGGAATACCAGGAATGAGGTAGTATTCAAATGGGGCTTTGCAAATGTGGGATGTTTGATCAAATACTAGTGAGGTCTTTTATGTGGGTAAAAAATAGAAGGAAGGGAGGAAGTTTTACTTTTTTTGGATTGCATTTTAAATCCTAGCTGTAGTAAAATCTCTTAAAAGACCATGTGAGTCGCCATTAAATGGCAAGGTACTGCTTGAGTCAGAGCTTATCTTTTTGATGTAAATGGGTTTGATTACCCTTATACTCAAAAAAAAAAAAAAAAGGCTATCAAGAAGTTCAAACAGATTAAGTTCTTGCACATTTGAGAAAATTTTGCACCAGAACTTATATATTAATCAAAAAGTTCAAAACAATTGACAATGATAGAATGTATTGTTTTGTATCGTTTTCGTATACAACACCTTTCTTATTTATAGTCACCTGGGCCCAATATACTATTGAATATATATACAATTGTTAATGAGAAGAATTGATTGAGGCTTTCACTTCGTTGTGGTATCAGAGCTCACCTCACAAGTAGGATGAGTAGTGGATGTGTTTGGCATGTGCTGCTCACATGCATAATATTTGGGCTCCACCATTGAGATAGACTTAGAAACAAGAGATGGTAAATGGCGTACCTTCCGAGTACCATCTTGAGATCTAGTAACCATCGGATGTGTTCGAACAAGACCTATAAATGTTGTTGAAGGCACAATTACTATAGTAGAAGAATCAGGTTGTTGATTATAGTTCCTATTATTCAGATCCTTTTGGTTGTCGTAGTCTGGTTGGTGCTTTGCAGTATATTACTTTTATCCGTCTAGATTTTTTTTTCTCAATTCAACAAGTTTGTCAATATATGCATGCTCTCATAGTTAATCATTCCTGGGTAGTCAAATGAATTCTTGGATACTTGAAAGGGACATTACATTATGGGCTTCAACTTTAGAAGGCTCAATCCTTTTCTCTTCATATTTTTACTAATGTTGATTAAATAGGATGCTTAGATACTAATCGGTCTACATCTGGGTTTTGTCTCTTTCTTGGCAATTCCCTTATTTCTCGATCTTCAAAGAAGCTGTCTACAATTTCTCGATCTAATGTGGAGGTAGAATATCGAGCAATTGCCAATGCTGTTGCAAAGGCAGCATGGGTTCCATAAGTTCTATTTGAACTACGCTTTCCTGTTTCTTCTTCTGCCATTCTTTATTGTGATAATGTTAATCCTTTATCTATGTCTATTAATCCAGTGTAGCATCAACATACAAAACATCTAGAGATCGATTTACATTTTGTCCATGAAAGGGTAGCATCTAGTTTGGTTCACTTGCGGTATGTTTGTTCTTCAGATCAATGGGCTGATATTTTGACCAAGGGACTCCAAGAACAACAGTTTCATTTCCTTCGAAGCAATTTATGCGTTCCCACTAGTCCCCCACAAATTGAGGGGGGATGATAGAATGTATTGTTTTGAATCACTTTTGTATATGGCCCATGTATATGGCCCATTTCTTATTTATAGCCTCGGCCCAGTATACTATTGTATATGTATACAATTGTTAACGAGAAGAATTGATTGAGGGCTTCACTTCATTAGACAAAAACTTATACAGCATCAGAGTATATCCCAAGTTTCAGACCTCTTGCATGAGCACAATCTGCACGAGCCTTAATACCAGAAGGAAAGGAAGTAGAACTTGCCCTTAGGTCACCCCTTCCAGTCTCTATGCTCTTCCGCCTAACAGTCATCTGTTTTTACACAACCAATTAAAAATCTATGCAACAACTGTTGGTGATGAACGTATTAAAAGAAATCTTTAGGTCCAATATCAATATTTACATAGTTGTATCCAAGGGCTGCCAAGCCAGTTGAAACAACCGCCTCGGCTGTTATCAGGAACCAAACACAATGGTATATCAAACAACAAAAGAGATACAAAAGTCGAGTTAAATTATTCAAAACCTGATAAGGTCCGTTATGTCAAATTATGCTTGATGGATAAGAGATCAAAGAAGAGATAAAACACCAAATTATTGGATGAGAATAGTAAATGTCAGAGAAATTGTAAATTTGTAATATTGCCATTTTCAAGGTCTTGAATCAAACTTCTATGCTGCAATGTAATAGTGTCTTCCCAACTGATAGCCTCCAACTAAAATGAAAAGAATGATGAGAGATTGATAGGGAATTCTAGACTATTCAAAACCTGATAATTAAGCTCCATTAGTTAAGCACAAGTTTATTGATATGATTACAACCAGCGTTAGATCAAGTGTACAATGCAACAAGATTTGGAAAAACAATTAAGGTTATCTAATATAGACAAAGTCATATATAAGAAAACATAAAAGATTGTTCTCTGAGAAAGATAAATCAAATATACAACAGAACACAACTTATATTTGAGTCCACGAAGTGTTCGAGAAAATGACAGGGTAAGAAATGCAGAGGCATACCAGTATCCTTACAATCCTCTCACGTATATTACATTGAAAGCGATTCCAGCTATTCCGACTGCAGGAAAATAATTAAGAAATTCATAATCTTTCACCCAAAAAAAAAAAAAAAAAAAAGTCTTGGTCAAGACTAAGAAAAATGGGTTTTTGGTATTACCCCATTGGAGGAGTTCGAGCAACACCATTGGCGAGGAGGAACTGACTGTAGTCTTGATGGGCATCGCTGCTGTTGATACATAATGGAAAGACAAGAACAAAAAAGAGAAAGCCGACTCTGAATCCCAACTCCATAGAGGGAAGATTGAAGATGTTTTGGATAGAATGATCATGAGAGAAAAGGAAATATCATCTTGAGGGCGTATCGGGTAGGATAGGAAAGTCCTTTCCAAAGAAAGCATAGGGTGGGGACCTTCGGGAGTGTCGGTGGGGGGCCATGGTCTTCCTTCCACTGACGAGGATTTATTGTAGGGACAGGGTATTCCGACATCTTTCTCAACCGAATAATAATGCATCTTTTTTTGGTAAATAATAATAATACATCTTTGTCATCCCAATAAGACTAGAGCAATGCTAGGGGCACTCGCTTTTCGCACTCTCCGGTTAACACTTTCTCTTTTATTGGGCCACGTTATCTTGGTTCCCGAGAAGTTGCACTGAATGCTTTAAAGAAGCTTACGTGGCCCAATGAAAGGGGAAGTGTCGGGCGGAGAGTGCGAAAAGCGAGTACCCCTAGCATTGCTCATAAGACTAAGAGGAATGCTAGCGTCAGTCGCTTTTCGACACTCGCTTTTGACACTCTCTTTCTCATTTTGCCACCTCACATCTGTTTTTAAGGGGTAAATTGGATACCGACTCTAATAAGTTATGTGTTTAAATTTAGAAATAAAAATTTGAGAGCCGAGGTAAAATTAAAAAATTAATAATAAAAACAAAAGACATATCATTTTCTCTCACCTCGCTTGTCCGCCATGACTGGGCTTCCTTCACCTCTTACATTTCTCTTCTAGCAATTTAGATCTTGCTCTTCATATTTTCCTGTTCCACTAATTACAAATAAATTGAATACGCTAGTTAAGTTAAAGAAGATTTCTACATTTTAAAATCTCAATTTTTTGAGAAAATCATAAGATTCAAAAAATTAGAGAAAGCACATAACATAAAGGTAATTTTTTTCCACTTAATTAATTGTGTATTAAATAAATATTATACCACCAAGCACTTGAGGAGGACAGCCATGGCGGATTGAAATACACAGAGACATTTCCTTACCCATTTGGATGAGTTTCTTTATTTATCTTCATTCTTTTTTTTTTTTTTCCTTCTTTTTAAAAAAAAATTGTAAAACACAAAATAAATTGGGAAGACTCCAAAA